GTGAAAGCCCGGCTACCAGGCGTTCGCCATCGTGCCCCACCTCCAGGCCTGGCTCCAGAAGGGGGTCCCGGTGACCCACGTCCGAGCGAGGGAACGCCATATCCAATGTTAACGTCCGTCATAAGGGGTCTTCGGGCTGCGCTTTGTCTGGTTCCTCACCTAGGACCTGTCTGCCTTGGGTGACCCTACCAGGGGCATAAAGCCCCAGACAGCATAGCTCCTAGGATCATTGGGACACTCAAACCCCTCCACCACGATAAGGTAGCAGCCCAAGGAGAAATCTGTAATTTAATTTAAAAAAAATCTGTATTATTCACACGCGGGGGTGGGTGGGGGAGGGTGCAGGCAGACCTGGGTTAAGTGGAGGACTTGTTTCTAGCAGCAAAGCAGGTTGGAAGCTGGTTATTTTTGATGGTATTTATTGTTGTTTTTACCGTCCTACAGGCTCTGACATGTTAAGTAATTTTGAGGATGAGTTTTTGAAAAAGTCCAAAAAACTTGAAAAAAAAAAATCCATGAGATTGCTCAATACCAGGGGTTCTCAAATGTTTTGAGTCTAGGGACCCCTTACAAGGGTGAAAAATTTCCAGAGACCCTCCTCACAAACCTTATTTTCATGAATGATCTAATCATTTCAAAATCATTTACTGCCATTTTAACCCCTAAATGTTATGGGACTAATTATATTTTTTTGTTTGGTTTAGTATATTTGGTTTATTTGTATATTGTTCCATAATGCATTTATAATTTTTTAAATAAAAAAACAAAATCAACAACTTATTGTAATTTTTTGAGGACCTAGGGGTCCTGGGACCCCAGTTTGAGAACCTCTGCTCTATATGTTCATGTACCTGCAGAATGAGGAAAAATCTGTGAAAATTATGGACAATCTGTACAACGTTTTGTATGCTTTTATATCAATGTGGAAACCCGAGTCAACTCTTTCAATCAGCATATGTTCATATTCAAGAAAACAGTTTTTAGGTTTTATAGTTTCCGGTGAGTTCTTTTTATTTTATAACAGTTATTTTATCATTTTACTTATCATAGAAGACACATTCTCCAGCAGGAATTAAAATGATTTCATCTTCAAATGAAGTTCAGACTAGAAGTAGAATCTTTACCACGGCTTATTTATTACAAATCCAGGCTCTACGGTTAAAACAACACAATGCCTTAATATATTCACACCCCTCCCACTTTTCCATATTTTGTCATGCTACAAACTTTAAAGTATTTTACTGAGGTTTTGTGAACTGTCTATAACTCGGGATATTGTTTTATAACCTAACCCCGCCTTTAACTTTTCAACTGCTTTATCCCTGACCTGTCTGGTGTGTTCCTTGGTCTTCATGATAGTTTGATTACCAACATCCAGAGAACAGCTGGATTCCTTCTGTTAAATTCTCTAGTTACTAATTAGGAAACTTCTGTGGTTTTAGTTCAGGTGTCAGGGGACTGAATACAAACTGCACGCTATACTTTTCACAATTTCTTTGTCAAATAAAACCCTGTTATCATTTTCCTTCCACTTCACTATTATGTGCTACTTCGTGTTAAGRCACAMAAATCCCAGTAAAAAAAACTTTGGATTATATGAGCTGAAAGTAATGAACAAAATCCAACAGCGCTGGACCTGAAGGGATTTTAAAGTGTTCCAGCTGTAGCTGTAAAACTCACGTCTCACCTGAATGCAGGCCAGAGGCTCGTTGGTCCAAATGGAGTATCCTCCGACCACGTAGATCCTGTCATCGTGGATGGCCACTCCAGACTCATTTTGACCTGAGGAGAACAGAAATGATACAACCTGTCAGGGTGCAAAGATTTGGGCAAGTCACGCAAATCATGCTGATCCACAATACCCCCACTATGATAGAGTGCAGCTCTAGAAATATACTGCTTCTAACGCTAACACAGAGGAGGGTTACATTTGATTGGCAGGGCCTTTCTGAACAGAGCTATCATGTTTATAATGTTGGTGCCTTCAGCTGTGCATGCAGAAACTCACACTCTTTAATGTTGCTGCTTTAGCTGTTGGAGAAAAAGTTTTAAGAAAATACTTTCTTTTTTATAAACAACTGATGCCATTATGAACCTACAACCACAAGACACTTCTTACAAATTAGGAATCATTTGATCGACCAGTGACCATAAACCACCAACTAACACACCTAAAACTCACCAACACCCCCACCAAAAACACACAAACTAATGACAATGTTTTTGTTTGTTAGCAAAATACCTCACGAACCACTGGACAAATTTTAACAAAGCTTTCAGAAATTAAAGATCTGATGAATGTTTACAACTTATTACCCCATCAAGTCAGCCCAGTTTAAGATGGCCACCAGCCAGCTGAGCTCAGAACACAAACAAATGCATGTAACCCTATCAATTTTAAAATTATCTAAGCACAACCCCAGTTCCTCAGGTCAACAGGTTAATTGGAAACGGGTGAGCGATTGGGTGTAAAGGGAGCATCCCTGAAAGGCTCAGTCATTCATTCACAAGTAAAGATGGGGCGAGGTAAGCGTAATTCCCAACACATACTCTGACCATGATATCTCACAGCATAAAATTGCACGTTATTTTTTTTAGATCCAACCAAAACAACTACAACTCTGTRGTTTCTCAACACGAGATGATCTTAGTTAATTAAGAGGCATGAAACATGGTGGGCAATATGCTAAAGAAATGCTAAGCCTTTATTTAATCCTGAAACCACTCTAAATGTATAAATATCCAATTCGGTGTTTTTATTCATCATGACTTTTCCAGGCATTTTGTTATGTTCTGGATAAAGCGAGCCCGGTGCTCACTCCAACTCAAATGGATCCATTTGATCTCCCAATCAAGTGAAAGTGGCAACAATGATCTAAGTGAACTCTCACCAAGCGACAGCGCTAATGTCACTGGCTGCGTTTCCATTGCAAATGTGTGCAAAACTTTGTCGATATTCTATTAATGTCAAAAAACACAGTTTCGCAATTGCGGTGTTTCCATTAAGTAAGAAATGTTATTAAAGTCATGCGTGAATACGTTTGTTCTCACGATAAGTCATTACAAACATGGCAGCAATGGATGTAAACACATAGCATATTGCTACCACAACACTAGCGCTCATCATCAGCCATCAGAGGAGACGTTGGCGTCTTATCAAGGCTTTCGAGTGACAAGCCCCTTATACTTGGGAGTGGCTACGAAAGCTGCGTTTTTGGGAAAATGTAGTCGGTGAGTTTCATACTTTCTTTTACTACTTCGGTGATTTCACTACTACTTTTACTTCCTGTTGTCTTCTTCGTCGTCTTTATTGCAGTAGAAACGTCCAGTTCTTGATCACGTGACTCCTGTGATGCGAAAAATGTGTTTCCATTGCAGTTTTGCGAAATACATCAATTTCGATACGGCCGAAAAACCACCTCATCCTAGAGCAAAACCATTTTGTCGAAAAACAATTTATTTCAAAATTGACGTGTTTCCATTTAGCAAATTTATTTTTGAAATTCTAATTTGCGCATTTTCATTGTCAYTGGAAACGCAGCTACTGATGCTTCCGCTGCTTCTGTTTACAGGCAAACGATCCTGCCATGCGATATGATTAGCTGTTTACCATCAGCTGAGCAGTCACCTCCCGGACGTGGTTTTGCCACTTGGCCCACCTGTGAGGAGGCTGAAGGAGCAGCGCGTCCACTGGTCCAGGTCTATGTTGTAAGAGTCGATGTGACGGACCAGGATGCGGTCGTTGTTGTAATCCAGGTCGTTCCCGCCGAGCACGTAGAGCTGCCGCCTCACGGCCGCCATGACGTGGTACACCCGCCTCTGCAGCATGGGACTGCGGGCCAGCCACTGGTCCTGAAGGTGGCGGAGAGGCCGACGGGTACAAAGAAAAACATATTAGAGGTGTGCAAAAAGGGGAGGGAGAGAGACACGGAGACGGTGGAAAAGGAATGGGGAGATTAATATTTAAGCATATCCATGCATGGGTAATTGATGTATGCTCAGTGCTAGATAAATAACGTGACACTGGAGCTCTGCTTTGTACTAATGACTTCCCTCCCTATTTCTAATCATATGTTTCAGCCACTCCATTTTACACCGAGGATCCCTGCTCATCTCACTAAGTGTGTGGAAGCTTATTTTGTGCCAGCCTGAGTGTGTGCGTACTTGATTGAGGGAGGGAATGAGAGTGAGAATTTGTGTATGAGCGCATGTGTGTGTGTGTGTGTGTGTGTGTGTGTGTGTGTGTGTGTGTGTGTGTGTG